TTTACTTACACATTAAACTCTTTAACTTTAAGTTCTGAGTTTAGCCAGAAGATGAAAATCCTTGTTCCTTATTTGTGTTGAAAGTAAACACACTTCCCTCCTAAATACTGAAGAGAAGACGGAGGAAATGACACCAGATGAATCATCACACACTTCATTTATAACAAAGTGATTAGACAGCTAAACACAAGGTAAATACAAGAGAAGTAACAATCAGCAGGAAGCAGTGGGACAGGAAGAAGGTGGAAAACTCACAAATAAAAACCAGAGGAACAGAGAAACTGGTACAAAGTCAATATTAATAGTTTTTATAGTTGTAGTAATCGATTGGGAAGCTGTCAAGATGTTTGTCCAGAGTAAAGATAGATGCTGAACGATTATGAGTTTGACCTCTGCACTCAAGTCTCATGTGACGCTACAGTTTGTGAGATGGTCTCTCCTGTTCTACAGCTCGGGAAGGAGCGATTCCACAAGTCCCAACATTTCGACTATTCAAATGGAGTCCCCATGCTGGTGGGATCCGAGAAGCCAGGCATCGGAGGAGAGCTGTTGGTCGGCCAGAAGATCAAACCAAAATATTCTGTCTACCCCAAAGGACAAGGCAGTGATGTAGCATCATGGGTGGCCTTTGACAAACAGGTGAAGTGTCTTGAAATGGATCAGTTGAATTCCAGTTAAGTTCATCTGGACAAGACAACACTTCCAATCCATTGTTTTACTGATGACTTTTATTCCAAAGCATTTTACCGATGCTCTAACATTTGTATATTGCTGTTATCAAAGATCTTTACAGGGCGATATTCAGCCAATATTCAAAAATCGATCATTTGACTTTTTTCTCTTTTGCGTTATGCCGCTTTGTGTCCCCAGGTTTTGTGTTTTGAAGCTTTCTGTGAAGAGGCTGCACACGGGCCGCAGGAAGAGATGACGAGAATCAGAAAGTGTAAAATCTACTTCTACCTGGAGGACGACACCATACAGGTTGTGGAGCCACACTTAAAGAACAGCGCCCTGCTTCAAGGTGAGAAACTATTATCTGTCTGTTTGTGACGTCAGCCGGCCACGTCACCCAAACTGAACAGACGATGCACTTAGTTAATACGCTGAACGATACGCAGCTCAGTTCCTGTCATTTATCTCTCGTGTTCTTCGTTGCAGGAACTCTTATTCGCCGTCACCGTATCCCACTGCCTCCTCCAGACGACGAGCAGTTCTACAACGTTTTCCACTTCAACCTCAACCAACAGATGGTGCTCTACTCACGCACGTTCACTGTGACCAGCTGTGACTCTTTCACCAGGAACTTTCTAACAAAACTTGGGGTGATCCTGAATGAGCCTGCGACTGTGCCCGATGACCCCTACAGCAAACTACGGGAACAGGTATACAGTCAATCAAGAGATTAATATTTATATGTATATAAAATCCATGTTAGTGACTCTGGTGCTGAAGAAAACGCACTGACACAAACCCTTGAAGAAAATAATTTCCCAAAATGAGACATTTAAATCGTCCTATATGTGATAATATTGATATTAATATTGATTTCTTCTCTTTTACTGGTCAAGATCCAGAAGAATATGAATCCACTCCGGCCGTACGAGAGGCGTGACACACTGAAGCAGTTCCTGGACCACGACGGCCAAGTCCTGCGCTTCTACTGCGTCTGGGACGACACAGAGAGCGTGTTCGGGGACCCACAGGAGTTCACACTGCACTACTTCCTGGCTGACGACACCATAGAGATCCGGGCGGTTGCTGCCCCGAACTCTGGCAGAGATGCCACGTCCAAATTCCTGCGCCGCTGCAAGCTGCCGAAGGTGAGGCACCACGACGGGAGCAGATCAAACCGTTTGCTATTTGACTTCAGGAAGGAAAGAAGCAGGATGTGCTTCACAGTTTTAATGTTTTAAATGTATAGATGAGGATTATTCCAAACCTTGCTTTGCCTCTCTTTCTGGTTGGCTGGTTTCTTTTCATCTCTCCTCACTGAGACTTCATTCACTCTGACAGGACGGCTGCAGCCTCCACTCTCCCTCAAGCATTTTGGCTTTCTCCTCCAGTTACTGACTGAAGCCTAATTCATGTTGAAAGACAGCCAGGCCTCAATCGTGTGTGTGTGTGTGTGTGTGTGTGTGTGTGTGTGTTTGTTTTCAGTCCAGTAATTTAGTTTGTTCTGATGCCTTTCATTAAATGTCAGCCCTAAAGGTTAACCAGAATCCACCATCCGACAGGAAATCACACAGCGTTAATGGCACATCACTTCTTTACACTGTCTTCTTATTGTTTCTACACCCCCCCCCCCTCTATATATATCCAGTCCACATCTGTGTTGTCATATGGAACGGTCTGTGAAAATCTTAATGTCATATAATCATTTTGTGTAACGGTTTGTTCCTTCACCTGCCTGTGTTGTGGGTGTTTGTTACCTCTCCCTGTGTAGAATGGTCCGGCCCAGTTGAAGCTGCCTGGACAGTCCACGGACCGAACAATGCTCAATGTCTTTGACTCCAAGAGTCAAGGAAAACGCTACATCCTGGACAGCATCAAAGTGGGTCACAAAGTTCATGACAACAGTCACACGAAACTGAAAATTAAACCTGATCTCAATCAATAGCTCAATCAAATTTAATTTGTAAAGCCCATATTCACAAATCACAATTTAACTCATTGATTATAACAAGATGCAACATCCGCTCCCTTAACCCTCGACTACAGTGAGGAAAACAACATGTAACTAGGCATATAATGCTTAGGTGTCCACATACTTTTGGCCGTACAGTGCATGAGGTGAATCTGAACCTGGACACCATTTTGACACATGGACACGTCCTTCACTAATGTCATCCTCCTCTTCCTCCTCTTCCTCCTCCTCTTCCTCCTCTCTCTGTCAGCCCGGAGCTGTGCATGAGGAGTTCTATAAGGACTGTGATCTGACTGTTGGTGGGGAGGTGAATGTGTTTGGTAGGAGAGTCCTCATCGCCGACTGTGACGACTTCACCAAAGACTACTACCGCTCCAAATACGGCATCGGTAACCATGACAACATTACTCATAAATACATGCTCTGTTTCTTTAACGCATCTCTTCCAATGTGCTTTATGTTTTTTGTGAACTTCATGATTAATAAAAATACTGATTTACAGACACAGATTTTACAAGTGAAGATTTACATATTCACACTAATTTATCTTCAGTCAGTCACAAATTATATCCTCATGTTGCTTAACCCTGCATTACACTAATCTGAACACTTGGGGGCAGTAGGAGCAAGCATCAGCAAGAGCTCAAGTTCAAGCAAAACTACTTTGGTTCATAATTTCTCTGTTCAGAGGAAATTACCTGAGCGATGATTCTCAGTATCTAATATTCTGGTTGAACATATACAAACCACATCAGAGTCCAGTCCCTCGGTCCACCTGACCTCATGTTCAGGGCACCGCCTCCTCAGCAGGTCCTGGATACGTCTGCCACCCTGGGCAGGTTTAGGGTCTCGCAGCATTTGTCACAGTGGTGAACCAGGCGGAGCCCCTGGTGACGGGCCACAGTGATGGAGGGTCCTGTCTAACTCTGAGCAGTCAGAGGTCGACTCGGGGTCACATTCAGAGCTGGGCGGCTGTGCCCCTGCATGGATGGATTACCTGCTGCCCCCCGATCGTTTCAGCTCTCCCCCTGAGTTCCTTTCTTCTTTTAAGTGTTTTGTCTTTTCTTTCTCCTCTTCCCTCTCAGAGGACTTCACCCCAATTCAGCTCAAAGCTCCTGCTGCCCCTAAACCCCCGAGGCTGGTGCCCCCCTACAATGGCTTCGGCTCAGAGGAGGACTCGCTAAGCTCCTGCCGGGGCCTCCTGCCCAAACCACCGCAGAAGGATTTTCGCAAATTTATGGAGAAAGACAGGTCGGATGAGTTTTATTCACAGTGAATTTACACTGAAATATTTTTTTACCTGCATCTGTTTGGGTTAGAGCCTTTTCTTCATGCGTCCCACTAGATACGGCCTGGACAGCAATGTGCTGAGTTTCCACGCCAAGATGGTGACCACCGATCCAGTTGACAGTGAGAGGGTGTTCATCATCTCCTTCTACCTCTGCGATGACTCCATCACTGTGTTCGAACCCCCACAGAGGAACTCAGGTAAAGAACAGAAGAGCTCCCTCTCACTGTAAAACAAAATGTGACTTTGTTTTCACCTGTAGACTGTTGGAGCTTGGAGGAGCTGAGTTTGAATGTGGACCAGGGAGAATGTTATGTCTCAAAACAATTATTTTGAATAAAGTAGGAAAATGGAAGAACCGCCCCCTCTTTCACTCTGGCCCCTCTCTCACTCTGTGCACCAGGCGTCCTCGGCGGCAGGTTTCTGGAGCGTGGTCGTGTGAAGAAGCCCGGCCAGGAGCTGTTTAAGAGCGAGCGGTCACAGTACTTTGAAGCTCAGGACCTGTACGTGGGAGCGACAATCTGCCTCAACAACCAGAACTTTCTGCTTCTTGATGCCGACGAATACACCTTCAGTTACATGGAGCAACACGCTGAGGAGGTGGGCAGGGACCTGACGGAGGAATGGTTGTTTCTTGTAGTTTTCTAAGCTCCCACCCGTCACACGTTTGCTGTGTATTGCTGTCATTTCTTGGTTTGGTGTTTCTGCATGTGATTAAATCAGTACATGTTTGTTTTTCAAAAGTTCCCTAAAGCCAACGTGGGAAACATCCTCAGTAGACTGCGATCAGCTCCGGAGGAGAAACAGAGTGAGATGAGGAAGTTTCTGACTCTCAGTGACCCCGGGAACACTGGCATCATCCCCTATGAGTCGCTCAGGTACAGAATAAAAATATGTGTAGACCCGTCTGTCCAGTGTGACCTCCCCCTCCCTTTTACAATACTATGCACTGAAATAAGTCATAAGACTCATAGAAAAGAAAATCTGAAATGTAACATCACTATATAACACTATACTACACATAACTATACACCAGTATAACCAGCAAAGTGACTATACGTACTGGCTTTAAATGTAGTACTATGATTTTTGATAACGAGTGTCTGTCCACCGCAGGGGTCTGCTGATGAACCTGGACTGTGGTCTGTCGGAGCATGAGCTGCTGGTGCTGGGCCGAAGTCTCTGCGAGCACGAGCAGCCCGAGGCGGACGTGGGTCTGATGCTGGCCGTGGCCCAGGACTTCCTCAGAAAGAAGAACTTTGATGCGTTCCCCGACATGACCAGAGCCCTCATGCACCGTGACCGCTACAAGTAGGCGACACACACCCCACACACGCCACACACATATAATGTTGCAAAAGAGACACACACACACACACACAGGGGCAGCATCACAACAAGACATCAATCGTGCCGCCAGTGGCCCCTCAGAGCAACGATTAGTTCCAGCAGTGTGAGAGCGAAGCATTAGAACCAGATGAAACCCAAAGACCTGCATGTAGTCACACACACACACACACACACACACACACACACACACACACACACACACACACACACACACGGTCTACCTCTGTCTCTGTCGTTCTTTTGACAGTTTTCAGACCTGATGTTTCATTGAAATGTTTAATGCTCTGTCTTATGTAGGAGACGTGTGAAATGGGTTTAAAATGAATTAGTGGCTCCAGGTTAAGACTCGTCTGTGTGTTACGGCCTTGGTGACTGGTGACACCCTCAGTTAGCATCAGATTGCTCATCAACATCCCTGTAATGACGATGGCATGTCAGGAATTAGCCCCTGGATCATCCTTCATCACTGTGAAACACAACTGAGGCCTTAGAGGACAAGAATCCTCCGTCATCACACACACACACACACACACACACACACACACA